CTACTCTGACACTGAAAAGTTCTTTCTAACGTCCGTGTGGCTCATGTGGGTACTCAGTTTCCACCTGTGTCCCCTTGTTCGCGTACCACCAGTGTTGAATAGTTTATCCTTGTCTACCCGGTTGATTCTCCTGAGGATTTTGTAGGTAGTGATCATGTCTTCCCTTACTCTTCTGTCTTCCAGTGTCGTAAAGTGCATTTCCCGTAGCCTTTCCTCGTAACTCATGCCTCCCGTTGTGTGCGTGTGTGTGTGTGTGTGTGTGTGTACGCGCGTGCTTCCCTGAGTCATTACATAGTTGTACATATGGTGGAGATGAGTTACGGATTCTGGGTCTTGCCTCTCAACACAGAGACGGAAGTTTGAGACGGAAGGTGGAGAAGTTTTCCTGGAAGTTCTCCAGACTTCCTTCCCATACATGCTATCAGTAGGGAGAAAGTCCCTCCCCCTAGTGTAGAGAAAGTTGCATTCCTCAGTAGAGAAGGACCCATAACTGAGCTCTTTCCTCCTCGACCTTCCATACAGCCACCAACCGTTCGCTCACGAGCGGTGGGTGATCACTTGCAAACTTCACAAAGTGCATCACATCAGCGGCATATGCCACGCTCCATAATATCCGAGAAGCTTCCAAAATATGGGGGCAAGAAAAGTACTGCTCACCACATACGTGAGACAAGTGCTGTAGTATGCAGCCCTGGCTCTCAGTCCACAATGGGAAAAAAAGAAAGATATGTGACGTTCAGAAACATACCACGAGATAAGTTCGACAGAGAATTAAAAAAAATTGGGAAAGACTAAGAAATTTTATTCTAGACAAGAAACGCAAGATAGGGAAATGAATTTTCAGGAGAAAGCGTTAAGCCGTTACGACTATATAACACTTGGAAGGGATCAGGATTTGGGATGGGACGGGGTAGGGGGAAAGAATGGTGCCCAACCACTTGGATAAGCACAAGATGGATGACATATGAAGTTCTTAAGAGCCCCCGGACGCTACTCAGTCACATCCCTGGAAACACAAACCGAAACTGTCTCTATTTTCCGCTTGTTACAACTTGTAATAAACGTGTTACATCTTGGCTTAACGTGTTTATGACGTATTAGAACGTTGTTACAACGTGCTATATTGGTTGTTATAACTGGTTAGGAGGTGTTAAAACTTGTCCGAACGTTGTACCAACGTCGTAGTTTCGGTGTGTGTTTGTCGGGATACACATCCACTCAGGACAAACTGCTTTCCTCGTGTTCAAACAGTACTCCTCTGTTACCGCTGGCACCCCGCGCTCTCCGGCTCTACTGCTGATAATACTCGCCTTTCTCCTTAACGTGGTTCACAGTCACCCAAAAAATTTTCATAACTTATGCTTGTAATTTGATTTGGTGTTGGACCTGAGACCCGATCAACGTCTGGAGGGTTTATTTATAAAAGCCACACAAGAGCATACTGACCCACCAGCAAGTATACTTTAGTCTTGGACTTAGCCCAGAACTAAGGTAAACTCTCAGTGTATATACACCGAGAAGCAAGGTACACCTCAGTGTATATACACCCCCCCCCCATCTTTTGAGATATTTTGAAAAGTTCCCACACATTTCTCGATCTTTCGTACACGCAATAAAGTAGCCGTCTCATGCATTTGTGTAGGATAACGTTCCTAGGCGCTATTGAAGGAAGCTTACCTAGCAGGCAAGGATCGTGGGTATTTTTGCCTAGCTGTGTGTGTGCGGGAACCGAGTCTCGGCTCCTGGGACCCTCATTTAACACGGTGTTGTCAAATTCTATGAACAGATTCCAACGAGCCACAGAAGGCGTCACCCTGCTTGCTAGGTCTGTACATGTGTTTCCGCTGATAGGCCTAGTCAATCCCTCACCCTTATTATGTTCCAACTCTAAAAGCTGCCCTAAGGGTGCGCTTTCCCTTCCCTTAGTGTGTGCATTCCCTTCGCTTAGAGTGTACTTTCCATTCCATTATAATGTACATTATCTTCTTAGTGGGTGTACTTCCCTTCCGTTAGGGAGCACTTCCCTTTCCCATAGGGTGTACTTTTCGTTCTCTTTAGGTGTACTTCCCTTCCAGTGGGGTGTACTTTCCCTTCCCAGGGTGTAATTTCCTTTCTTTAAGAGTGTGTTTTCCCTTCCCGTTGAGTGTAGTTCTCCTTCACTTAGGGCGTACTTTTCCTACCCTTAGGGGTGTACATTCCCTTCCCATAGTGTACTTTCCTTTCCGATAGGGTGTACTGTTAATATGGTTCTCTTCAGTCCTCCCCCTCACCTAATTTCATCGGGGTTAAGCTCAAGTGGTCATGCACAAAGTTACCATGCACAACGAGGTCATGCACAGTGTCCATGCACAAAGAGGTCATGCACAAAGTGTCCATGCACAAAGAGGTCATGCACAAAGTGTCCATGCACAAAAAGGTCATGCACAAAGTGTCCATGCACAAAAAGGTCATGCACAAAGTGTCCATGCACAAAGAGGTCATGCACAAAGTGTCCATGCACAAAGAGGTCATGCACAAAGTTACCATGCACAAAGAGGTCATGCACAAAGTTACCATGCACAAAGAGGTCATGCACAAAGTGTCCGTCTCTGCTGGTTATCCTCGCCAGTGTTTTACTCAATAGCGTCCAATTGTTTGCAATCATTTACAGTTCGTATACATATATATTAAAAACAGCGTGTGTCCTGGACCTCACTTGTTACTTCGCTGCGTTGTGACTCTTTCTTTATCATTCTATGTTTTCTACCCTTAAGGTATCCCCCCCCCCCCTGCCACGGGTAATCCTCTCCCAGTTGCGCCTTTAGGGATATATGTGTGTGTGTTGGGGGGGGGGGGTTGAGTTTGTATGTGTGTGTGAGTGTGTTTGAATGTGTGTATATATAATGTGTGTTTGTATATGTTTAGCGACTACACTCGCATTAATGGATTTAAGTGTTAAAGCACTAAGGTCACCTACATAGAGAAGAAAGTACAAATTATCGTCACCGAAACGAAAATCGTTAATTCGGAATCAAAAAAATATCGAATGATATTTTTTGACTAACATAAAACCTGACTGATAAACATTGAGGAATACATGAAAAGGCGAAAGGAGAATTGAAGAAGATAGGGAGAATAACTGGCGTGGGGGGATAGAAAATAGGAAGTTGGGCAGGAAGGCAGAGGGTGTTGTTTGCTAGGTAAACTCTCACTCTGTATAAAACCCGCTGACAGCCCCTACAGAGTGTCAAGTCCTTCTCTGCCTGCCCAACCAGCCATCGACCTTGGTAGCTTGTCCCGACAAACGTTCTCAACCACCATATTAGTGCCCATACCCCCCCCCCCCCTCCACTTAGAGGATCACGGCACTCTCTTCGTCGTAAGAGCCACTGAGGCATCAAGTGCCAGGGAAAACCAGCGAGGCAACTCCTGTGAAGGTGAGTAGCTGAGTGTTTACTCCTGGTCAGCAGGGCACGTGGTCTCCCAGTGTAGCATGAGGCCTCCTGGTCAGCAAGGTACGTGGTCTCCCAGTGTAGCATGAGGCCTCCTGGTCAGCAAGGTACGTGGTCTCCCAGTGTAGCATGAGGCCTCCTGGTCAGCAGGGCACGTGGTCTCCCAGTGTAGCATGAGGCCTCCTGGTCAGCAAGGTACGTGGTCTTCCAGTGTAGCATGAGGCCTCCTGGTCAGCAAGGTATGTGGTCTCCCATTGTAGCATGAGGCCTCCTGGTCAGCAGGGTACGTGGTCTCCCAGTGTAGCATGAGGCCTCCTGGTCAGCAAGGTATGTGGTCTCCCAGTGTAGCACGAGGCCTCCTGGTCAGCAAGGTATGTGGTCTCCCAGTGTAGCATGAGGCTCCTGGTCAGCAGGGCACGTGGTCTCCCAGTGTAGCATGAGGCTCCTGGTCAGCAGGGCACGTGGTCTCCCAGTGTAGCATGAGGCCTCCTGGTCAGCAAGGTACGTGGTCTCCCAGTGTAGCATGAGGCCTCCTGGTCAGCAAGGTACGTGGTCTCCCTGGCAGTGTAGCGGAGGGTCTCCTTACTGGACAACAAGCTAACCATCTATCTCACTCCAACGGTTGCGGATTATAATAATAATTCATTGTGTCTAGGACAGGCAGCCAGTGTATATATCGAACCTTTTATTCGAACCACAACACTGTAAATGCTTCACCCACGTACTACAAATACAAATAATCACCAACAGAACCTAAACATCTAACCTACTAGTACCTAAATATGCACAGAATGCTAATATATAACAATATTAATTTACATTAGAGAGAATTCCTATTTTGAATGAACAGCATGTTCATACTGATGAAAGCGTCTTTGGGGTCGACTGCTGGAAAGTTGATTACCACGTAGTAGAAATCCTAATGTGGAACTCGTTAGTGGGAGATGAGACAAGTAACGAACGGCTTTACCAGCAGCGTTCGCTAGGTCAAAAGATGCAAAATTGATATGGGTGGGTGAAAGCCCAGTGAAGTTCGACTTCCTTATGAGTTAAATATGAGGAGCAGCCAGTGTTGGATTTGGGAGCAACCAGTCCTCTTGAATAATTCATCGTATTTAGCTATCGTTATCTTCAACGGACAAAATATGATCAAATATGCGCTATAAATCATGGAGGCTCACAAATATTCACATTTTCTATGCTTGGAGCCAACCAGCCCGTCGTCTATAATAGTATATCCCATTTTGACTTGTAAATCCCCTATTGCCAAAAACTGATGTACTGAACATCATAACTTATGTTATATATATGATGCTCGAATATAAATCCTAGTTACATCACTAGTAAACTCCTTTTACTAGTTTTAGCTTACTACTATAATTTTAACTCAACCACCTTCAATATTAATTAGTTTGTATTTCCTTATCGTTACTTTATATTGCAGACGCTTGTGTCGGCTAGGCTACAGGCCCGAGCCACGGTGAACAAGCCAGTGAGTGACTTGCTTTTAGGACTCTTCTGCTTTGTCAGATGCACGTTTGGAGAACTGCTGCCTTGGCGGTGATAGCCATGTCCGTCACTACTCCCGCCGGTGGAGCACTGGTGGGCACCTCCATCGCTGCCACAGCCACTCTTGGCACCCTTGGCCCTGGCGCCTTAGCCGCCCTGGGCCTCCTGGGCGTCGTCGGCATCGGTGAGTAGCCTTTTCTGGTGGGGATTTGGGCCCCAGGCAATGTATACAATCCAGGGACTAGCATAGTGAAATAAGTATGTCAAATTGACCAGACCACACACTAGAAATTGAAGGGACGACGACGTTTCGGTCCGTCCTGGACCATTCTCAAGTCGATTGTGAATGGTCCAGGACGGACCGAAACGTCGTCGTCCCTTCAATTTCTAGTGTGTGGTCTGGTCAACATACTTCAGCCACGTTATTGTGACTCATCGCCTGCAAGTATGTCAAATATTTTCGTTCTGATTAAGATTCGATCCAAGATTGTCTGGCATGTGAGTTAAGTGTGCTAATCAGTCCACCACAGGGTAATATTTTTCAGAAAACTGTGACGGTGCTGCCATCAGATGACGTCTGATGGACAGGGTGAAAGGTGATTCGTTATGGTTTTACCAAATTTGGGAAGTTAGTGACGACAGAGATAATTTCAACCTTCTTATCTTTCCCTTGGAGTTTTTGGATGGATTCATCAACGGCTTCATAGCAATTCTTTATTAGTCTCCAAAAGAAAGTGCCGTAGGTTCACAACGTATGTGTCAAATGTCAACCTAATTACGTTCGAAGTCAAACTCAAAACGTGCTTCATTCAATTCCAAGATGTGTAAGCAACCAAAAATTAATGCAACCAAAACGCTCATTTTAACCTTACCGTGACCTAACCTAACCTTAGCTTGCTCTAATGGAATAAACCCATGATGTACAATAATAATAATTTATACAATCTCTTTATTTAACTTTATACTAAGTAGTATCCGTTTTGTCAATCAGGTGCAAGAAGTATATGCAAAATACTTACGTATTAGTGACAATAATTTGACGCATTCACCAACTTTTACTCACGATTATTATTTTGCTATATACTGTACATCTATTGAAAAATCCGCGATGGAACTAAACCCTTTAGTAAAAAACTAATTTACACAAAATGGGAATATCATTCCTTGTTTTTATTAGCAATTTTTCACTTTGAAAGTTCGACTTTGTACTTGATGGTTTTACAGTATTCCAAAATGGGCTTTTCAGTATGTACATATAAACATATGGATGGTTTGTAGCCTAGAATTGCTCGAATTATAATAACTTTCCTGCTGTTTCCTATAGGTGTGGCGCTCAAGAAGAAGCTGTATTATGGAGGCTACGGTGATGGAGGACACTATGGTGGTGGAGGTTACGGTGCAGGCTACGGAGGTGGAGGATATTATGACAGTGGAGGTTACGGAGGTGGAGGATATTATAACAGTGGAGGCTACGGAGGTGGGGGACACCATGGTGGAGGAGGAGGAGGTTATGGAGGTGGAGGAGGCTACAAGGTTGTAGGATATTATGACGGTGGAGGCTACGGAGGTGGAGGAGGCTACGGAGGTGAAGGACACCATGGTGGTGGTGGTCACAATGGTGGCGGTGGACACTATGGTGGTGGAGGTCACAATGGTGGCGGTGGAGGTCACAATGGTGGCGGTGGAGGTCACAGTGGTGGTGGTGGAGGTCACAGTGGTGGTGGTGGAGGTCACAGTGGTGGTGGTGGAGGTCACAGTGGTGGTGGTGGAGGTCACAGTGGTGGTGGTGGAGGTCACAGTGGTGGTGGTGGAGGTCACAGTGGTGGTGGTGGAGGTCACAGTGGTGGTGGTGGAGGACACGATGGCGGTGGGGACAACGGCGGTGGAGGAAGCCCTGGTAGTGGATACGGAGGAGGCTATGGCAGTAACTATGGAAGCTACAGCAGCAGTTACGGTACAGAAGGTCATGACTACCCATCTCCAGCATACACCAGCTCCCACCTTCACCGGCGAAGCACGCAGGTGGGTCTGGGGACAGAGATATAGGAATAAAATGTATAGTTTGTGTTCAGACTCTGAAGTTTGTTGACCATTGCTATGTAACTTTCTCTGGGGTAAGAACTTTGGATTTTTATTCCATCATTCTTGTCTGTCTAACAACTTCATTTGCAGTACAATTTTGTATCTGTTTATTCTTTGTGTACTCATAAATGTCATGTTTTGTTTTCATTGCTGATATGACACTGACCTATTATCTTGCGTGGCATTTTCCTGCTTCTGTCTTATGTGGCACTGCCCTGCTTCTATGGTACTGCTTTACTTCTGTCTTATGTGGCACTGCCCTACTTCTGTCTGATATCACTGTCGCAGGTCAGTCCAGTAAGATGTAAGGTTGGCTCCTTCTAGCTTGTAACAAGCACTCGTCAGCTGTTAAGCTTGTTGTGGCACCGAGATATTCAGTTATTCCTATAATTCCTGATAACCCAAGTAGCTTTCATAAAATTGGTAGAGTAACCAAATTAAACGTCTAATTTCCCTTTATGCTTACAAGTAGGTAGGTTGGTATGATCGCATTTAGATTTAAGGCATAACATTACGATGTGTTTAGGCTTCAGGAGTTGTGTTATGGTGGTGTTCAGGTTTCAAGAGTTGTTATGATGGTGTTCAGGCTTCAGGAGTTGTGTTATGGTGGTGTTCAGGTTTCAGGAGTTGTGTTATGGTGGTGTTTAGGCTTCAAGAATTGTGATAAATTTTTCTTATAGGAAAGCCAGGAAGCGGCGACGGTGAAGGCGGAGTTAGTGTTAACTGAGGACCCTCTGCGGTGTGCTCACCTGCTGCTGTGTGACCTGGCAGCGAGATCGCCTGCACTCCTTCGTCCCGACGAGCTCTCCATCCTTGCCTTCATCAGGTAGGTGTTGAGTACCAACACCCGTGTTGCTCGCCGTCAGACAGCTGTTAAATAGCTATATTCAAGCTTCAAAACAGAGTGCTATTACTCATTACTCATTCCCTCATCAAGGTCTGAGACCTCGGGGTCCCAGCAGGAGGCCTGGGCTACGTACCTGACGGAGGCGGTTGAGGCTGGCCACGGAGGCGTCGACTGCGCCGTCCTGTTCAATAGCTGTCCTTTCACCGCTCCTCAAGTCATGGCTGTCGTCAGGAACGCCATGAAGAACTGATATGACAATATATTGCATCGATTGTACTTCTGCTACAAGATTATCGCTTCCACCTCAAGTACCCTTGTACTTGAAATGGGTTTACACCAGCCTCTGAGTGATCATCAGTAGCCTAATACCTAGATGATAAATTATATTTAAGTTAAATGACGATCACCTGAAATTAAAACACCCGATGAGCCTCAAATCATGGATGGAAAGTGCATTTAATTTTATTAAAAATTGTTATAACACATTATTTTACAGAAAAATGTAATATGTTTATAGCCAGCCAGGGTTGGGTACCATATATATATCTCAATACATCTTAAGAAGTATGAACAATACAATTCAGTGGAGGGAGATGAAAAGGAAGCATACATGTGAGGTGAAAAAAAGCCTTGAAATTTTAGTTTATGAATATAAGAACAAGAAGAAACTGCAGAAGGCCCAGTGACCAATATATGCGAGTTCCCGTTGTTGTTATTTTAGATTCAGCTACTCGGAACAAATGTTGCAAGTAGCAAGTATGGTGAGCAAGTAGTGGACTTATCTGGCACAGGTGACTGTGACTGTGTATTAATGATCCTACTAAGATCGTATTTTTTAACTGATCCATTAAAAAAGGATCCAGATTGTACAAACCATTACTAATATTCATGTTGTATGGCTATGTAATTTGTATTGAAGTAGATTCATTATTGTTTATTAAAAATGCTTATACAATTTGTTATTGAAAAAGACCTCTCAATCAAGTTTGTGAGAATTTTCTGAAAAATTAATAAATAGACCATATATAATTGGCCAATTTTTACAAAATGGAACTGACATGAAATGGGTATTCCCTGTTTCTTGATATGTACTGTATGTAATGTAAATACATACAATTATTCTTTAAATAATTTTATTCTTATCACAAGTCTTACCAATTATAAAGCTGATTTACACGCCGATGTCGGCGTGTTTTGATTTACGAAAGTCGTTGATGCTATCAACGACTTTTGTAAAGTCTGTAATGGTCAAGTGGATAACTTACTGGATATGATAACCTGTTCAAAGCACCACGCTATCTAAGGTTCGAATCCTTCACGAGGTTGAGTTCTTTAGTTACGTATAACTTGTGCGTTTATGCAAGTGGGTCATTATATATATATATATATATATATATATATATATATATATATATATATATATATATATATATATATATATATATATATATATATATATATAAACAAAACAGGCTTCTTATCATTGACAATGTAGAAGCATTTGTAACGAGGGGGACGTAGTGTCACACTGATAATTACCACCATCACCACATCCTACACCAGCACATACAATACTCAACACCCATTATATCATCCTTAATGATTTAACAGCCATTTTCGCCTTCGTTAAACCTCTGAGTTGGTTACTTTCGACCACTTAATTCTGAGAGAGAGAGAGAGAGAGAGAGAGAGAGAGAGAGAGAGAGAGAGAGAGAGAGAGAGAGAGAGAGAGAGAGAGAGAGAGAGAGAGAGAGAGAGAGAGAGAGGAGATGGAGGGAATGGAGAGGGAGAGTGAGGGAGGCTGAGAGAGGGTGCGGCGGGGGGGGGGGGGGGGGGGTGAGGGGGGCGGGAACGGACAGAATAGTCCATCCTCTCGAGTTGTCACAACCCAACACGTCCTCAGACCAAGTCCATTCTACCCAGCGGTCGACCATAGAGATGCATTCATAAATTTTAATATGCTGTTCATTCAAAACAAGAATTTTCTCAAATATAATTTATATTATTTTATATTAGCATATTTAGGCATGGGTTAGGTTAGGTGTTTAGGTTCTGTTGGCGATTATTTGTATTTGTAGTACGTGGGTGAAGCATTTACACAACCCATCCTCGACTCAAGTCCATTACATTCAGCGGTCAACCCCACAGACGCATTCATAAATTTTAACATGCTGTTCATTCAAAACGGGAATTTTCTCAAGTATAAATTAATATTATAATATATTAGGATATTGTGTATAAATAGGCATAGGTTAGGTTAGGTCAGGTGTTTAGGTTCTGTTGGCGATTATTTGTATTTGTAGTACGTGGGTGAAGCATTTACAGCGTTGTGGTTCGAACAAAATTCGTCAGTGAAGCACTTGTTCCGGATATGTTCGAACGTCAGCAGTTGTGAGTCGTGTGTAACAGCCCGTCCTCCAAACAAAGATCCAAAAGTGATTCCATGCACCCGCCAAACCCCCTGTTTATGAATGAAAAGCGGTTTACACACGACTCACAACTGCTGACGTTCGAACATATCCGGAACAAGTGCTTCACTGACGAATTTTGTTCGAATCACAACGCTATAAATGCTTCACCCACGTACTACAAATACAAATAATCGCCAACAGAACCTAAACACCTAACCTAACCTACCCTATGCCTATATATACACAATATGCTAATATATTATAATATTAATTTATACTTAAGAAAATTCCCGTTTTGAATGAACAGCATGTTAAAATTTATGAATGCGTCTGTGGGGTCGACCGCTGGATGTAATGAACTTGAGTCGAGGATGGGTTGTGTGTAAACCGCTTTTCATTCATAAACAGGGGGTTTGGCGTGTGCATAGAATCACTTTTGGATCTTTGTTTGGAGGACGGGCGGCATTTACAGCGTTGAGGTTCGAACAAAATTCGTCAATGAAGCACTTGTTCCGGAAGTGTTCGAACGAAATCAGTTGTGAATCATGTGTAAACCGTTTTTCATTCATAAACAGGGGGTTTGGCGGGTGCATGGAATGGACTGTGGGTCTTTGCTTGGAGGATGGGCTGCATAACAAACAGAAAATTGTGTACTGAAATCCTCGAACGAAACTTAACCTAACCCAACCCAATATATTTACCCACGCATAGAAAACGTGAATGTTTGTGAGTTCCCCCATTATTTGTCCGTTGAGGATTGGCAGTGTGGGTTTTAATATCTGAATGAAGTGCTAGACGTGTGTTGAAGGTGCGACGAGTCGGAATGTCAGGTCCCACAAGTCTCCCAGGTAAGGGCGGCTGTGGCTAGAGCCGTGCCACACCCATCCTGTGAGTGGTAGTGGACCCCACACCCATCCTGTGAGTGGTAGTGGACCCCACACCCATCCTGTGAGTGGTAGTGGGCCCCCACACCCATCCTGTGAGTGGTAGTGGACCCCATACCCATCCTGTGAGTGGTAGTGGACCCCACACCCATCCTGTGAGTGGTAGTGGACCCCACACCCATCCTGTGAGTGGTAGTGGACCCACATACCCATCCTGTGAGTGGTAGTAGACCCCACACCCATCCTGTGAGTGGTAGTAGACCCCACACCCATCCTGTGAGTGGTAGTGGACCCCACACCCATCCTGTGAGTGGTAGTAGACCCCACACCCATCCTGTGAGTGGTAGTGGACCCCACACCCATCCTGTGAGTGGTAGTGGACCCCACACACCCATCCTGTGAGTGGTAGTGGACCCCACACCCATCCTGTGAGTGGTAGTGGACCCCACACCCATCCTGTGAGTGGTAGTGGACCCCATACCCATCCTGTGAGTGGTAGTGGACCCCACACCCATCCTGTGAGTGGTAGTGGACCCCACACCCATCCTGTGAGTGGTAGTGGACCCCACACCCATCCTGTGAGTGGTAGTGGACCCCACACCCATCCTGTGAGTGGTAGTGGACCCCACACCCATCCTGTGAGTGGTAGTGGACCCCACACCCATCCTGTGAGTGGTAGTGGACCCCACACCCATCCTGTGAGTGGTAGTGGACCCCACACCCATCCTGTGAGTGGTAGTGGACCCCACACCCATCCTGTGAGTGGTAGTGGACCCCATACCCATCCTGTGAGTGGTAGTGGACCCCACACCCATCCTGTGAGTGGTAGTGGACCCCACACCCATCCTGTGAGTGGTAGTGGACCCCACACCCATCCTGTGAGTGGTAGTGGACCCCACACCCATCCTGTGAGTGGTAGTGGACCCCACACCCATCCTGTGAGTGGTAGTGGACCCATCCTGTGAGTGGTAGTGGACCCCCACACCCATCCTGTGAGTGGTAGTGGACCCCACACCCATCCTGTGAGTGGTAGTGGACCCCACACCCATCCTGTGAGTGGTAGTGGACCCCACACACCCATCCTGTGAGTGGTAGTGGACCCACACACCCATCCTGTGAGTGGTAGTGGACCCCCACACCCATCCTGTGAGTGGTAGTGGACCCCACACCCATCCTGTGAGTGGTAGTGGCCCCCACACCCATCCTGTGAGTGGTAGTGGACCCCACACCCATCCTGTGAGTGGTAGTGGACCCCACACCCATCCTGTGAGTGGTAGTAGACACCCCCTGTGAGTGGTAGTACCCATCCTGTGAGTGGTAGTGGACCCCACACCCATCCTGTGAGTGGTAGTGGACCCCACACCCATCCTGTGAGTGGTAGTGGACCCCACACCCATCCTGTGAGTGGTAGTGGACCCCACACCCATCCTGTGAGTGGTAGTAGACCCCACACCCATCCTGTGAGTGGTAGTGGACCCCACACCCATCCTGTGAGTGGTAGTGGACCCCACACCCATCCTGTGAGTGGTAGTGGACCCCACACCCATCCTGTGAGTGGTAGTGGACCCCACACCCATCCTGTGAGTGGTAGTGGACCCCACACCCATCCTGTGAGTGGTAGTGGACCCCACACCCATCCTGTGAGTGGTAGTGGACCCCACACCCATCCTGTGAGTGGTAGTGG